TTTGCTGTACAATCACTCTATTGTTATGATATTGCTGGCCATATATCTTTTTGTTTAGCTTTGAGCGACTTAATCTTTCTTTCATCCTCACCAATTTTTTCCCCATCACAATTCTTTACCGGTGCGCTCCCTCCCACCCTCCTGTATAGACCCATAGGTGAGGAGTTATTCCTGCATCTGGCTCGAGGTTCCACCAAGCTTTTTACATAATCAAATCAATATTGCTATGATTCACCCTCTGGCAACAGCCGCCTCGTGCAACTTTCACTGGTGATGTTTGGCAGCTCACGGGATAAAAAAGACAGCGTGAAAAAAATAAATAAAATTGTAGTTAAAAATCTCTGGGCTATTGATTTTGTGCCTGCACGGTCGGCTTCTCCCCATACCACCCATCTTTAACGCGCACTTCCCTTGTTCGGAATGCTTTGTTGTCTGTCACGTTTCAGATTTGAGCTTTCTTATTGTTTGTTTGCAGGTATGTAAAAGCGGCCCGTGTTGAATTGAGGCGGCTTGGGTCTTAGCTTGCCCCCATATGCATTAGTTGTGCTGATGAGTTGATGGCTTATTGACAGCAGTGGAGGGCCTCAAACAGAATTCACCAAACAGGCGATGGATATGACAATCAAATGAAAAGTGACTTAATCAGACAAGCTGGAGTTGTGAAGCTGGGTTGATGCGTGACATGGATGCAACAGGACTGTGAGGATTTTCTTCTACAGTATGTATTACTTTAAAGAAGAAATGTTGTCTAGATTTTCACACAAAGTGCCACAAGGAACCATGTAACTAGATAATGTATGTATTTATGTCTGAGTATTACCAAATAGGGGGGTGCTGAAAATAAATCAATAAATCAATAGAAAAATATTGCTATTTTTTAAAAATTGGGCATAAGATATTTTCTATTTATTTAGTGATATAGATTTGTTTATTTTTGTATTCATTTTTTATTTCAATATGTTTTAATTAATACTATTTTGTATTCATGATAGAATATTATTCTATTATTACATTATATTATTCTATTTTGTATAATATAATTGCACACATTGCAAACAAAGGTATGAGTCTCAGAAGATTTTTCAACAATCAATCTTTAATAAATGATATGTAAATGCATCTTTTAAATTTGGCAGAGCATGAGATAATGAGCCATTGTAGAAATTGAATTGCTTATAAATATATACTATCGAATTGAAAGAGCCCTGCATGTTTAGGTTTGTATCCTATTGTGGTTTATTGATCTACGTATAGAATTTGCCAATTGTAAGAGCCCTATCATTAAATGTGAATGTATTTGATAAATTGACTTGGATACATATTCTCTGTAGTTGGTTGCTCACAGGTATTGATCAGATTGTTTACTGTTTTGTTAAATCTTATCTGAATTGGACTTGTTTAAACAGGTTTGTTGAGAGTAACAGCCCCCATCAGCCCTGGTTTATCTATCACGCCGCATGGACGTGTTGGGTCTGCTTCCATAGCTCTGTCAATCCTTCCGCTTGTCACTCTTAACTGAAAATCCTTCTTTATGATACGAGTCCACTTAGTGGCTATAAAAACAAATTTATCTTAAATGTTGGATTCATATTGGATTCATAAGTGTATGAGACAGAACAAAAATCAGAGCAAAATGGGTCGGTCTGCGTGTGTCAGACATTTTTTGATTTTCCTTCACCAGAGTTTGATTGAATACGTTTGAGTAATCCCAACGTATTTTGAGCTCAAAGTTGTGTGCTTATAAACAAATGTTACATGAAATATAGGCTTCTTGCTGCTGTGGAAGAGGCATGGCTTTTCTGCTGCTTTGGTCTGTGGGCTGGTTCATATGCATGTGTTTTTTGTGTGGACCAAAATAGTATTTTACAATGAGCATCATGCGGAATAAAATATACTATAGTTTAATACTAATACCAGAAAGCAAAGCATGATGCATGTGTGTGTTTAGATGCCAACTTGTGCAGTCCCACGACACAGGGAAATAATATCAAATTAATAAATGACCCATACGTGAATATTTTTTACGTATTTTTTCTTTGATTATAGGCTTACTTATGTGTAAGTGGTGACTGAGATTCAACAAATCTTGGGGTTTACTATTATTGTTCGACTCATTTGAACTCAACAATGTGAAATTGTATTAAAACACCTCATTTGTTTGGTATGTATTTTTGAGATTCGTTTGAGCTCTGTTACTGAGTGAGAAAGAGCCTTTGTATGAGTATGGACATTCAAATCTACAGCATTTAAACTCATGGATATGCGTTCAAACTGCTGCTTTGAATGAACATCATAGTACTGGAAATATGTTCCAAAGTAGCATTCTACACCTCATTCTTTGAACTTATCTTTCGCCACTCAAGGACCACTTGTAACAGTACTCATATTTTATAAGGGGGTTTGTATCATTTTGTTTTCAGTAGCCAGAAGCCCTAAATTGACAAAGATACTGTTCTGTTTAAGATGGCAAATACAAGCACTGCTCCCACCTGTCATACAGTATTTGCGGATTAGACCGGATGGCAATATATGCCAAAAAATGTACTTAAAAAGTCACCAGATAAGAAAGGTAGATTAAACCACATGTGACAATACAGGCTTTTATTAGTACTTAGGTTGACCACGCAATAAGGGGCAGTAGCCTGGTATAAAAACAGGTACGCAACTGTACGTCTGCAGCTTTCCTTACTTCCTGGTTCTGTATGATGTGCAACATGTGAGTTTCAATTAAACAAAACTTTGTGAAACACGCCACAACATGTTGAACTATCAGCTGGCTCTGTCATTCTCTCTGGAATCCTGGGCTTTGGAAAAGAGATGAACAATTTTCCCTGTGGTATCAATATGGACATTCTTAATATGAATTGCACAGTTCACATTAAAAACAGTAGCCTTCAATGTAGTCCTGGCTTCAGTGGGCGGGTCTCTCCATTTTCTTCACAAATGAACGCCCAGTCTGGCCGAATCATGACTGGTGGCTCTGGAAGGGACATGAAGGTCTGTTTTTAGTAACCCTCTACTGTGCTATTCTTGCTTCTTCTTGATGAATTTGGTGGAATAAGGCAATTATTTGTGTTGCCGATCATGGTAAGGAGCCGATGGAAATGAGTCTTTATGGCTAAATCCGTCATACTATGTTGATTAATGTGTACTGGAGTTTATTTTTTATTTTTTTGATCCACCAATGTACCACTATGACATCACGCTCAAAGCACTTTAATGCCTTTGAAAACTAAAGTAGTGCCCATAAATTAGTTCTGTCAATTTTGTTTCACTATATATTTTCTACTGAAGATATTAAGTCACATTGTAAAACATGACAATAGCAATTAGTCTCATTGTAAGGTTTAATGACCAGAATAAAATGTGTAATATTTCTTCTGTAGAACATGCTTATACAATCGCCTTTTAGCTGTTACTGTTTCTGGCCTGTTAATGTTACTGCGACTGGAGCTGAAGGGAGTGAGGGAGAGAGTGGAGAAGAGGTGGGGGCGGTGGGCTGATGGTGGCAGTGATGGTCGTGGTTGTACTACAGCATATATCGCATCGCATTGATTCGGTCCATTTGGTGGACTGAACATGAACCCAATAATCAGATCTTGCTTAAGCACGCGCTTCCTCGGTAATTGACTCTCGCGTATTGATTAAGACGTGTCCCAGGCCCTGCTCCTGCGCTAATGCAACTGAGAATGAGACTGACCCCCTCGCGAGACCCCCACCTATTCGCATTGACACCGACAGCCTACACATTGGGCAGATGACACACCGAAGCGCGCACAAGCCGAAATAGTCCTGTCATTGGTGCGTGCTTTAATAGATAAAGCTGTCACGGCTGGGCTGCGCATCTCACCGGGATGCGCTCCAAATTAGCCGCTCAATAATTTATGTAGAATAAGCAAAGGCTGAAAAAACACAGGGCTTAATGTGTGGTGTTCAGATTGAGCGGTGGCTGGGACATGTGCGTTTGTGCTGATTGTCTGTCTGAATAGGTCTGTATGGGAGTGTGTGGCTGCTCTGGGTAAGTGAACTCACTCCTTTGGGTTCAAGCACAAAAAACACTTGCTCTTGCCATAGAAAACACACACGCCTTTGCTGTGGAGGCCACTCGATAAGCAGACTTGACATATTGATTTGTTTACGGTTGTACAATGTGACTGCGCATACTTGAAGTGAGAGAGGGATTGGATTTCCCCAAATAACAGTGTTTATGAAGGAAAGAATCAGATCTATGATACAAACAAAAAAGTAATGATGGATTTTGTTTTTGTCTGCTATATATTCATTAAGATGTTTAGAAGACAATATAATGAGTGTATCCTCATCAAGGGTTTGGTATCCAAATTTAAAGTCAAAGAAAAAATGAGACAATGAGACAACGAGACTGGTAATATATCATAAGATACTGTATTTCTGAATCTCTTCCACACCACAAGTTGGTGGAAACCAAACCTTTCACAGGGAGTTTTCTTTAAGAGAAACAAACAAATATGTAACTTGTATGTAACATTTAAAAAGTGCAGTAGCTATAGAAGAAAATATGTGGATATGATTTGGAAAGGCTCCCTTCTCTGTGAGCTACAGTCTGTTGTTGCTGCCAGCAGAATACATTACCCTCGGCTGACATGGTTTACACACACATCTAGTGCTGCCCTGTACATTTGACATTTCTCCCATATGGCCATTTGGAGCAGCGCTGAATGACAGAGCCTTTGTTTTACATGCTGTTTTGTTGGCGAGATGAGCCTTGATTTCCATCACCTTGATTTCCAAGACATTCATGCATATACACTCACTTTACCCCTCCTACTAACTGACTTCACCATTGAACAGCAGGGTTACAGTGGCAAAGCTTACGAACACTCTAGTTTGATATTAACCCTTATCTTGTTGGGACTGAAAGTCCCATGACAAGAAAATATGTTGCCAAGGATGTTGCAGAAGATAGTTGTGTTTGTGTCTTTGAAAAGTGTGATCCAAGTGTGGTGGTGTGTGTGTGGCCTTCAGGCCTCTCCTGCTCCTGCCCCTTTGGGAGATCTGCCTGTAGCGAGGTGAAGCATCACTCTAAACCACCCACCCCCTCTTCTGCCTGTCTCCCAGGAGTGGACCGGCACCTCTCCGCTGGCCAGAGGGAAGACCACAGCCTCTCCTGGGCCCTCTTCATGTCTCCAATCAGGCTGCATTGCCATGGCCCTGGGCGGCTTCCATGTGATAATCTCCGCCTCCTGCGTTATGCATTGCCCTGATGAATTCATCCTGTGACCACCTGGCACTGGCTGTTAGGATCTGGAGTGTTGTTTTTGCAGCCGAGGCTGGGGCAAGCGCTAAGAGGGACTGTTTTCTGACTGTCAGAGACCCTCTCGCCCTCCCCTTCTCTTCATCTCTTCTCCTCTACCATCGGCAGAATGTTTTAACCTCACACAGACCCTGCATATGTGCTCGTGTGGTGGCTGCAGTGGGATGCTTCACCTCAGCAGGACCTGTGTGGGAAAAGCCCTGCTTGGTATTTAAAAACGGAAGGGCCTTTTACTGTAAGACAAATTGAAACGCAGGAGGCCAGAAAGGAATGTGGCTGTCAGTGTCAACAGCTGCACGCTTTTCTACGTGAATAATCACATAGTTTGACCCATGGAAGCTGAGGATTGTATAACACACATTTCACTAAATTGAGGGTCAATGCAAACATATGGCAAAGCTGGTGCCTCGTAACTTCTGACTTCATTCAAAGCTGCTTTTGTGACCTCAATTAAATTATGGAAATAGAAACTTGAGGCAGACAGAATCACTGTTGTGTTTCAGTGCTGGGTTTTATAACATAGGTTCAATCGAAATAATGAATTAATAGATGCATTTTTCATAAACCTTCTGTGAGAATGCGTGCCCCGATGCCGAAGAGTCCACATTTGAATAGAGTCTCACATGTGCTTTATGGAGTCGCACTGAAATTGCTTGTGGCTCAAAGCATTAGAATTTCATATTTTCTTGGTTGCTACAGTGTGTGTGGTGTGTGATAGAGAAAGCCAAATGAAGAGTGAGTACTAGTACGAGCAGTGTCCATGTCCTTGGCATCGCTCCAAATCTATCATTTACACTTTCATATAATTGGTCTTATTGACTGCGCATTGACATCGTTTCGTTTTCTCCTAGCGACAGAGCGGGTCAAAGAATTTTACAAAGTACAAAAAAATGAGGGACTTTCCATAGTTTAGTTGAACGCCTCGTGCCATCCAAACCTGGTGATGACACACTCAAGCCAGCACCCAGACTGATTGGAGAATAATGGAATCACAGTGCGGCCAGATCAGGAAACCAAACAAGCAATTGCAAAACGGTTTCTCAAAGCGCCAAAAAAAGCATATTTCGACAAAATGAAAATAATCAAATGAGGGCTTGCCTTGTTTATTATCCCTTGTTATGTAGCGGCACAAGTGTGAAAGATAAATTGTGGCATATGCTGTGCACGCCAGGAAAATTCGATTGTGGTAATATTTATGCCACAGTCTTACAAACCACTAGTGATGTATGAACACTGGGTACGTTTTACTATAGGACTGCATTCTTTTGAAATTCACAAAAACAATTATTTTAGCATAAACTAGAGCTCATTTGTAAGTGCCTCTATGGATCTTTGTTCCCTGGTATGATATTTACATAGGTGATACATCTTGAAATGGACATAATCTTATATTGTTCTCTATAATATGATAATCTATGACCCCTGTGGCTCTTCATTAAATATATGATTCATAAGAAATGCTTAGATTGAGCTAAAACAATGTTTTGGAAGAAACAAGTTGCGTAGCTCTGCCTTAAGTCCCCTTGGGCCACATAGCCCCGCCCCTTTATCCATGCCTCAGGGAACTGTGCTAGAATGTTTTGCTAAGCTCCTCTGCAGGCAAAGTTGTGATTATATATTGTTTCTTTGTACAAACATGACCGTACAAGGTGGGTAAATCTTCCATGTATCACAGATTCAGAAAAGGTTTTATTGCTGTAAATGTACCGTTATATTTGGTCTGAATGTTTACACTGAAAACGCCTTGGCAAAATCACTTGATCGCAAGGCGGGTTAAATGGCGAGCCGTTCTGACACTCCAGCCCTTGTCGCCCCAGGTTGACATTCCCATGTTTCTGAGAAATGGAAATGAGGAATGCAATGGGTAGAGCTTTAAGATCATAGTTCTTCAAAAACACTATTATTGTATTTAAAACAGTAGGAGGCCATGCTTATTTTCACTCCAGTGTCAACTTGGCACCTGTCAGAGATACAGTAGGTTAGCACTGTACCCTGCAACGCTACCCACCTTGTTTTTATTCTTCTTAAAACGCTTTCATATTCTAACTCTTCAACGCAGTACCATGACAATGCCATGTACGACCAATAAGAGAATTGCACAACATGTCGACACTAGGGCGGGGCGATATGGCTGAAAACTATTTCGCGATATATGTGATTCATATTGGTCGTTATCGATAAATAAAACTTAATTAAATACATTGGTCATGTCGGCTAACACGTTAGCAGCACTTGTTTACAGTCACGGGGGAATGAGAACTCAGACTGGAAGCATATTTTCACAAGCACAGTGTCCCCCATTGTCAGTCCTGGTTAATTCTTGTATAATTCCGGTTTAATCCTAGTTTAGCTCCTGTTTTGGCGGTTTTCGAGTGTCTTCAGTCTTCTTGCTTTGGCGTGCGTGTCTCTGTGACCACTTTACGGCTCTCTGAAAGCTTCCAGAAGAAATAGTTGCTTCTGCAGCATGCATCGAGTCGGCGTGCCCACTGACCTCTGCTGCACCGCAAATGCGTTTCCTTGCACGGACATGCATCGCCATTGACACGACATTGAAACACGACCATATACTTTATATATTAATGGACGTAGTCACGCCTATCTCCGCCATTCTAACTAATGGGCCAATAATTGGGCTTTCATGGAGTGATTCAAAATGGCAGCGGGGGCTGGAAAATGTGAAAAAAACGCATCTGTGCATGCGTCAGCCGGCAGAAGCCCCATTTATTTAAACGAGTGACTTCACAGCGAGTAAACTAGACTGGACCAAAAAATTCCACCCCCCTCGGCATTGACACACATGTGGAACGGAGCTTTGGGCCAAGAGCCAACTTTTGGACCATCCTGTAAAGACGTTTTCAAGAGGTCTGCCAAGGCTATGTTAGCATTAGCTAATTCTTATTCCGGGTCCACCCTCATCGGCCTGGGGTGGTATTGCAAGCATGTCAGCGCACTTCATTTTTTTGGGCATTTCCCAGAATGCCTTGTGGTGCATTCCTCTGTATACGTCCCCCAGAATGTCGTGTGCTTCTCGCTCGGCTTTTCTTCCTGTTTTTTCAAACGTTGTTAAGTTAAACTATCGTACATTCTATCGACCCCATTTTCTAATTAAATAATAATAATAATTAAACAATGCACCTTAAAATGTAATAAACTTTAATTAAGAGCATGCAAGGGGGGAATCGCATGCTGGCTTTCCCCCCTGATAAAAGAACACCAATTTTGAATAGGTTTGAGACACTGCTTTTGTAGTCTCAGCACTAAGTTATCTCAGCTACATCTTTAGGCCAAAGTTCCACGATGAAAAATTAATCAGAGGGAAGTAGCTTGCCAGGCTGTCACTCTTGTCTGCTTCACAGGACTTTGGACTTGTTAGCCAGCTCGCTGCAGGCCAGGCCCCATGGCTCAAACCATTGCAGTAGCTGCTGAGTGGGCAGGTGTCTATGTCAGTGCTCTCTCTTGTTTTCCCGGGCTAACTGTTTGCCTTTCTGTGCCTCTGATCATGAAGACTAACCTTAATCGTGGTGGGTGAACCAATCTCTGTGAGCTGTCATTAAAATGGCACCCCTGGGCATGCTTGTGCTGTAGTAATTTTGCACTCAGGGCTATTGAAGTCGCCAACTAAAGAATCACTTTCTTCTCCTCACCAAACTGGCGTCAAATCTCCCATCTTAATCCCAGGAACAGTGTTTGATTGAACATGACAGGCCTGTAACTAAACTTGAAAGGCACCATGAGTACAAGCTGCTGTTGTGGCTTTCCTTCAAAGGATCATCAGCAGCTTTTTTGAAGGAAGGAACTAGAATTTGCTGAATGTCCAGATGTTGAGCACTTGTTTTTTTAAGTTTTGAGTTTTAGTTGCCACAACCTTTATAATGTTATACACTGTTAAATAAATGGGCCACTACCATACATTTTGAACAGCTTAAAACTCTGCTAAATGCTAAATTCTTAAGAAAAGACAAAACATGTTTTTCATTTGAGCCAATTGGGGCAATATCATTGATTGTCTAATGAAGGTCAGGTTTCCAGGACCATACCTGCATGTGAAAGCTACATCCTGTCAAACCTCTGAAGCTTAGCAGCGCAAGGCCTGGTTAGTAAATTGATGGGAGACCTCTGGTGACACCAGGTTCCACAGTGGGGCAGCTGTGGCTGTAACGTGCTAAACTGCTGTTGTGTCCTTTGGCAAGACACTTCACCCATATTTCATAAAATGAGTCTGGTGTGTGAATGGTTGATGGTGGTTGCAAGGGCCCATGCTGACTTTTTTCCCAATGTGCCCTGTAAACAGCTGTGCAGCCATTCTTTCTACATTACGTGTTATCTTTTGATCTATCACACAGAGTCTTTATGTTTTCATCAGTTTCTCACTATGCCAAAAGTATTATTGTCTCATCATGAGCGTGAATCACTTTTAAGCCCTGTTCAGACCGCCAACACCTGAATGCACTGCTGCTGCGTTTTGGAAAAGTATGGTGGGTGGACTTTTCCTCTTTCTCTTCTCAGCCCTGATTGGTTGATGGTGGTGGCCAAGAAGAAGAAGATCAATTAAGCCATTTTAATCGTCTTAAAAGTCAGTTTTTTTTTTTAGAAAAAAACGACATTCTTCAACATACAGTGTTGAGGATTTGTACTTGTCAGCTTGCCCTGATTGGTTGATGGTGGTGGCCAAGAAGAAGAAGATCAATTAAGCCATTTTAATCGTCTTAAAAGTCAGTTTTTTTTTTTAGAAAAAAACGACATTCTTCAACATACAGTGTTGAGGATTTGTACTTGTCAGCTTGTCACTCTGCCTGTTTCAGTTGTTTGGCTCGCAGTCAGCACTGGAGTGATGCCATTGCTGCTGGCGGCTCGTAACCTCTCACTAAGCACTCACTTGGGTCGGGCTTAACCAACTTCACATTCTCACCCTCACATCAGAGTTCACTGTCCTTTGTTAAAGAAAGTAAAAAGATTAATCAGGAGAAAGAACTATTATATTCTATTTTACAACAGAGAATAATTGTATTTCGTAAATCATACAGTCATGCATTCATTATATTGACTTTTGTTCATATTTTCTTTTTGCATAATTAAAGATTGAAGTAGATGGTGCCCCAAAATTCAATATGTAGACTGATTTTTAATTATTTTGTCAACGTCACTTGTCACTGTAGATACAACTTGAATAGTTGATGACCAAAATTCCCTGGTTGTGAATGCACGTATATCAGGACACCCACGCCTCCTCCTTCCGTCTTGATGCTCCTTTTTGGTCACACTATCAATCCTCAGAACATGACAATTTTCACCACTGTATTGGAGTTCTATATACAAAAGATGATTTCCTCTAAATATTGTCACATTATAATGAATAATGTATAATAATAATGGGTGGCAGCTCGAATTCCCACTCCCCCAACCCAGAAATTTACTAAGGGCTTGTAAATTAATGAATGAATGAATACAACAACAAAATAAACATTCTAAAGACTATGTTTAAGGGCCATTTTTAATTTGTTAACTAAGCCAAAGTGTATTTTTTTTCTTTTACTGTTGCATAATGTAATCCTTGACCCAACCTCTCAATTTTTTACTGTTGTAATATTTACTCTCTGGGTTAGGGTTATATCAGGGTTATACTGCATTATATAATAGCTAGGGCCAGGAAAGGATGCAAATTAAAAAAACAAAAACAAATGGCAAATTGGAGAACAATAAAGCACAGTTAAAAATAGACCCTTATAAGCACTTATGGAGGTTAGCATGCACAAATCACCTAGGCCTTTAGGAAACGGGACACAGTAAAACGCGTAACAGCAAACCAACTTTTATTCCTAACATGAATTGCGTTAAATATTATGTGTTTCGAGTGCTGGTTGTGCATTGGATCACAGCAGAATATTTTTTGTGTGTTTCTCCCTCTTTGTTGTGTGTTCTCATTTCTGCTCCTCCATACTGCTGCACACTAATAAGCTTGTCCTGTAATCGTGTTAGGCGCCCTGTCGGCCCCAGCCAGGGGACCTAATTGGGACAGAGCCTCGGACAAAGTGAAAATTAATAACTTTTGTCAAGCTCCTGGCGCGTCGTCTTATGAAGCAGCGCGGGTCAATTAGAAGACGTGATACGATAAGGTCCGAGCAGCAGAGGAGCGCTGACTCAATTAGGCCGACGACTGGACTCTGGAGCCACGGCCAGGCTGGAAGATTGGGAGCGATTCCCTGCCAAACTACAGGTTAATGCGCCGCAGAATTATGCTATCATAGTATCTTTGAGATGACTTTAGCAAGTTAAGGTGGCATGGCGTTGGTGCTCATTTTTCATTGTTAATCCCAAGTGTACAAGAACCACAAATCAACACAAACTCTCTTATAATTAAAAAGTTCAGCAGTTAAAAAAAAAATCTTTTCAATGAGGTGTTATGCAGTACTCAACTCTCAACAGCTTATCTCCTGTACCATGCAGTATTCAAAGTCAAAGTTGTGTTTCAATTTCTTTGTTCATTTGTTTTTTTTTTTTTTTACACATATATTAAGTATTAAGTAAGTACTGATAATTTATATAGCGCATTTTACAGACCAAGGTCACCCAAAGCGCTTTACAAAGTTCAGAGTTCAGATATTGTTCCAATACCACACACGGTGATGACAGAAGCGAGTCGCCGAACACACTGGCGCATCAGCTCCAATCAACACCATCCATTCACTCTCTCATCTACATTCATACCTATTGAAGTGGTTCGAAACCCCGTTTTTCATCGACCCCCTATACACTGCTCTGCTTAAAACTGCAGAAGTGTTGTCTCGAAGCAACATTTCAAGCAAAAGAAAATCATACTAATTTCGATACCACTGCAATTATTCATATACATAATTTTTTTTAATCAGAATCACCTTATTACGACATAAGGGTATGGCCTAGTGTACGATAGGATACTTTTCAAGACAAAAGTTTCCCGTCTTAAAGCTATGTCTTCAATCTGCGGTTTGGGAAAAGACAGTCACAGGATTTTTAAAATTATATTAATATGATAAAGAACAAACTAAAGGTACAGCCCTGAAACTTTATATGAGATAGAGGACTACTAAAATCAATAAAAAAAGTAGGGAAAAGAATGTACAAAAAAAGTAGGAAAATGTTTGCTGGATGCCAGGTTGCTAATAATGAAAATGTATTTTATTTTTTTTCGCGCTTTCCAAGACACTTCACAGAATTGTTCATACATTCCATACTGGGTGGTGATAAACCACTACAGTAGCCACAGCTGCCCTGGGACACACTGACAGAAGTGAGGAAATCAGTATGTGCTATTGGGTAAGTGGGTGGGTGTCTTAAGGACCAGTGATGGGCAAGATACTTAAAAAACGTCCTTGGACAACAAGGATGACCTGAAGATGACCAAATGGCTCGAGGTCTACTATATATATTGTTGATTTCAATTGAATTTTGCGTCGCACAGATCAGGTACGTATATCCCTAGTCATTTATTTTCTTTTAACATGGATTAGGATTTAAACATCTCAAGTGCAATTATTATGTATTCATTGAATCCAATATCCATCCATCCATCCATTTTCTTCCCCTTAATCCATTTTTGGGTTGGGGGGTGGCAGTCAGAGCTGCACCCAGTAAACATAGCACCAGCCACTGATCCTCCTGCAGGTGGTGAGTCCGCAGGAGCTGAGATCTTAAGTGTCTTGCCCAAGGACACAACGACAGCAGTCATCAGTGGGAGTCGTGAAGTAGGTCTCGTGGTGGATTCGAACCTACAACCTTCAGGCTCAAAGGCCGATGCTCTACCAACTGTGCCACTGTCGTCCCTTCGAAGGATTATTGGATTAATTTAGTTTTAATTTTAGTTTTCCTTGTCATCCTGAACTTTTTTTCTTCTTAAATCTTTCAGTTTTCTTTAAATCCACAATTTAGTGCAACAAACTGCACTTGTTTTCTTTCCGCTCTACTCTGAGCTCTGGATTTGGGAGCTCATGATGCTATGTTGTGAATCCAATTGCTTTCCAAACAATTCCAAATTTGTTTCCGATGTTTTTAAGGATTTTTTCTATTTTTGAAACTTCACAAAATGCTTTCACCTGATGTGACAAATGCATGATTATCTTCTTTTGTGCATGCCATCACAGAAAATGAGGATTCACCTGCCCCAAGCCCTGAAGGTGCATACATGTAACAGCGATATCAGAAGAGCTGTGTGAAAAGTGTTGCTTTAATTAGAAACAAAAAAAATACCGTAAGAGGTTGCATCGACCTTTTTGAGTCCTATCAACTTCAGCTCTTTTTCAAGTAATAAAGAATAATGAATTCAATTTAACAGAATGCAAAACTATTACTTTGAAGTGATTGATTTACTTAAAATGTGTGTGTCATTTCAAAGCAAAACTAACTTGGAGATGATCAATTTACTCAAAACTTTTTTGCACAATATATTTGTTTTGTCATCAATGGGCCACCAGGGTTATAGAAGAAATATTTAAAGAATTTTCTCTTAAAGCAGTAAAATCAGTATTGTACAGGGTACTATAATAATATTATACAGTTCTTATTTGTCAACCAAAAATATAAAATAGTGGAAAATGAAGTATATAGTAATTACTTAAAATATTTTACATAAAAGTTTTGTCTGATTCACTTATTACAGTGTACTGATATAATGATTGAGAAGAAGCCAAAATGGAAACTTCTCTGAGCCCTCCCCTCCCTGTTTTATCACTCCCTCCTGAAAGAGCTGTGCGGGACCAGCTCCAGGAAGAATGGCAGAGCATGAGTGTCCGGGCTTACTGGAATCACTGGCTTCCTTTTAACACCATCAACATTAATGGGTTGTTTGTTGTTAAGCGGTATTATGCAGCACCAGATTAAAAACACTGAAAGCTTCACATTTGATATGAGAGCATGTAGACAGTCCCTCAGCCCTCCCTCTTCCTTCTACACGTGCTAATGATTGTGTGTATCCCAAGACCGCCACAACACACGTTATTTAATTATCTGCCTTACTTTCTGTCAATACTGTAGGCGAAGAACAAGCGCCTCGGCAGTGCGAGCCAAGAAGTTTGTCTGTAAATAATTTTACTTTTCATAATATTTTGTCTCAATTTTGTCCTGTAGAGAATCTTTTTTTTGCAGTGTAATAATGCTTGACTTTGCCACTGTTGTAAATTATTCACTCCCAATTGGTCAATCTCAAAATACTTTCCTACACTATTGGTAGCACTTTGTTGTTGTGCAGTTAATGAATGCACACTGTCATTTATATTAGAAACATGGATATAATTTAGGAAATTGTAAACAAAGAACTGTCAATAATTAAATGACCTAGATCAAGTGGATGGTTGGTTCTGAGCTGCTGCTAACATGCAAGAAGGACCTGGGTTCAATTCTACCTCCAGACAGGGCCATTCTGTATGGATTTTTCATGTGTCTGTGTAGGTCTCGTCCATGAGCCCGTACCATCAAACACAGAGCATAGGGGTCCTGAATTTAAATCCACCTTTCTATGAAGCTACTGAGACAGAAGCAAAATCGCTCCAAGACCATGACCACAGCAAGCAAGATGTGATGATAGCAAGTCAGAGCGCTGGTCCAGGTGATCAGAACAGGGCCAGTTCTGTTGTTGTCAGGGCCAGAGTAACTCTAACTAGTCTTAGAGGATTGCCGCTCCGCTTATTCAAGATACATTATTTAATTTATTTAGGGATTTGAAATTTTTGGAAAGTTTTGTGCAAATATTCAATGGAATGCAACTTTATTTACATGACCAGCATGTTTTTTTAGTGCGCCTTTCTAACACATGAATATGTTTTTAACCATTCCATTGTAGCTCTGGCTTTATGTTAAGGGTCATTGTGCTGATGTTAGTTCTCTAGATCGCTATCCCCAATCAATATGTTTTAAATTATAAAAAAATCAAATTAAATGATAAGGAATTTGAGATATGTCAATGTTACAGTACTAAATCCTTTGAATGATAAAGAATCACAACCCTTCACTAAATTTAACCAACATTTTAGGAATTTACTTTCTATTCCTGAAATCCAGTTGCCAGATCCATTTGGCTTTACCATTACTTATATCCTATTGAAAACAATCAAATAGCCACAAAACAGCCCTCCTAATGTACTACAGACATAGTTTTGAAACATGAGGAAGGCATACTTTCCAACTTGCAATTTAATCTTCGGCTACATCAACTCGTAACCTGGTAAAGAGTCCCACACGCCACCAAATTATTGTTTCTTCAACTGGACATTTCCACTGCCTCCCATACAGGTAAAGTCGACAAATGGGCCCTTAATGCCATTTGCCATCCCTTTTTACATTCCCCTGCTCTGTCATCACGTCAGCATACCCTTAAACGCATTTCTCCAACTTAACCAGCACTTTATTGTGGTGTGTTATTTTGTCCAATCGAATTAAAGAGACAGCAACTTGGAATCCATTTGAACTTGATCCTTTCTTAGCTTTCCTCAACCAACCCCATTAACTGTCATCCTTGTCCAGAACTCCTCCTGCGCACCGGTCCAAAATGTGTAAGCTGATGCGTCGTCAATAACCGTGCAGGGAGAATTGCGTAGTCTTTAAAAAGTAAAACCTTATATTTGACGTCTTTCCACCGAGGCTGCAGATTGAATCAGCAACAGCGCGGGCCCAGCTCTAATATGTTTAAACAGTGATGAGACGCAACTCTACACTCCGCGGAATGGGACCACGGCACTCTGTCTCGGCGTAAAGTGGCTCTCATCCGCGAAGTTATGAGTGTAGAAAACAGACACTGGAGTGAGTTTACCCACATTAGAGAGTTCTAATCAGGGCTTCGGAGACCCATCCCCATCTCACATCTCTGCCATGAAACACTTTCCACGGAGCCTGGAGAGCGTATGGAGGCAGCAGCACAGCTGCTTGAATCCCTGTGGCGAGCGTCCGTCTTTGCGCTTGTTTCTCGGATCTTTCCCCTCGTCGTCTGCTGGGAGTCTTCTCTTGATGCTGGCTGCAAAGTGAGAGGACGCCATAAGGCCCAGAGCAACCACACAGATTTATTGAAACTTCGTGTCCCGTCCCAATTGCTCATTTGTCAGGAGACCTAATTTACACTGGCCCTTAAGACTAATTGCAAATTTGCCAAAAATGCTGATGTCGCTGGAACTGAGGAGGCTTTTCTTCTTGCCCCTCCCACGGTGTCCCTTGCCATGCATTTGCTAATGTGTTTCATCTGTAGAACATAAACTGCAGTCTTTTTCCTGTGTGGGTATAAGAGAGAGCGGTGGTGAAAGCACAAAGCTCTAATGGGGCTGTTAACAAACAAGAAAAAAGTGACAAAACACATAACATTAAGCTGTACCAGACTAATGACCTCCCTATCCCTCGTTTTAAAAGTTATCAGCAGCAGGAACACAACCCACGACATTGAGACACATGCCAGTACATGTTTTAGGTTAACCAGACACCACATGGTAATTAGCAGTGCAATTATCAAAGACAATGTAAATATGCAGATGGCAGTGTCAGTTCTTTGCTTGGAAGAATGTAATTTAAATCTGTTATCCAAGTAAAAATATACTCAAAAAATAATACTAGTTATCACAGAACCACTAAGACGTAGCTAACAATATTTGTTATAATAGATTCATATTGCAATAATCTATTCCTCTCTCTAGTTGACTAAACGGCTTTGCACACTATGGGTGACGTCAGCACTTGGTCAGGCCACCTCTTCTATAAGCAGAAACCAGTAATTTACTGTATGTAAAATTCATATAAAATTCATACTTTTTGTTTCTCTTACTCACAAGTATTTTTTAATTCTCTAATTTGTACCTATATAATTTCCATTTCTATTGGCTCAACGCCAGTCTCACAGTAATGAGAGGTTTTGTTTCCTGAAATATTCACATTTCATTTCAGACAGCGAGAAAAGTAAATCATACAGTATGTATTTTTTCGCTGCTTCACTGTATATGCATGTAAAAACTAGTGATAGGACCTAAATAGTTTGAGAGCCAGTAACTAGTTAGATCTATTTCATTACATAGATAAATTTTTTGTGAGAGTTATCCCACCTTTGAGTGCTTGCAACTCACTTTTATATATTTCCCTTTTATGCTCTTGTTGTAGTTTTCTATTGGACTTGAGAGACTTTGAAAACCATAATTCGTTGGACATCTTTCCTTTGAATATTGCTGCTGCTGTACCAAAACACTTTGAATGCTTGTATAAATGTCTCCATCACAGAAAGGTGCATTCCTGCGGTCTCCACTAATAATATTTCAGACAGCAAATCCTTGACGAAGTGAAGGCTGTTGTTGAAGATCCTGGCTTCACCCAGACTATAGATTACATTTTATTTCTACATCTTCCAACCAAAATGTTTATCTGTTTAAAGAGAGTGTGAAGTATTTTAGCCGCAATGGCAAACAGGGCTGCAGACTCTGAGTTGAGCGCACAGAGCTCATAGACTTTGATTTGAGGGATAACATGCAGCCACATGACTCAATCAGAAGATCCCCTCCCATCATCAGCCGTTTCTGTGGCCGTCCTCACATGCAAGTATTTAACACTGACACATTCTTGTCGGGAGCACCGTGTTTGGGAAGTCTTTGCATGTGTGCGCGCTTGTGGAAGTAGGCTTTCATTTTGATGAACGGCTTCCAGTCATGATTCTCTTGTTCTCTCTCCTTCCTGAATTGACTTGAGGATTATTTCAATCGACATTTTCCTTTAAAGCAACATGCTAAGACTAAAGAAAGCATTTCCTTTTCCAATTATGATGTGATGAAGGAGTTATGGCACTTTATGTTTGCAACATTCACCTGTTCCCGGTGAATGTTGGCCTCCGACAGGGCTGCCCTTTGTCACCGGTTCTGTTCACTGTATTTATGGACAGAATATCTAGGCGCAGCCAGGGGTCGGAGGGGGTCCGGTTCGGAGACCACATGATTTCATCTCTGCTGTTTGCGGACGATGTTGTCCTGTTGGCTCCAACGAACCAGGACCTGCAGCATGCACTGGGACGGTTTGCAGCCGAGTGTGAAGCGGCTGGGATGAGAATCAGCACCTCCAAATCCGAGGCCATGGTGCTCGACCGGAAAAAGGTGCCTTGCCCTCTGCAGGTGGGTGGAGAGGTCCTTCCTCAAGTGGAGGAGTTCAAGTATCTCGGGGTCTTGTTCACGAGTGAGGGAAGAATGGAGCGTGAGATTGACAGGCGGATCGGTGCAGCGTGCGCAGTTATGCGGTCGCTGTATCGGACCGTTGTGGTGAAGAGGGAGCTGAGCCGAAAGGCAAAGCTCTCGATTTACCGGTCAATCTTCGTTCCCTCCCTCACCTATGGTCATGAGCTTTGGGTAATGACCGAAAGAACGAGATCGCGGATACAAGCGGTCGAAATGAGCTTCCTCCGCAGAGTGGCTGGGCGCTCCCTTAGAGATAGGGTGAGGAGCTCAGTCACACGGGAGGAGCTCGGAGTAGAACCGCTGCTTCTCCACGTCGAGAGGAACCAGTTGAGGTGGCTCGGGCATCTGTTCCGGATGCCTCCTGGACGCCTCCCTGGGGAGGTGTTCCGGGCACGTCCCACCGGGAGGAGGCCCCGCGGAAGACCCAGGACACGCTGGAGGGACTATGTCTCTCAGCTGGCCTGGGAACGCCTTGGGGTCCCCCCGGACGAGCTGGAGGAAGTGTGTGTGGATAGGGAAGTCTGGGCGTCTCTGCTTAGACTGCTGCCCCCGCGACCCGGCAACGGATAAAGCGGAAGAAAATGGATGGATGGGATGGATGTTTGCAACAACACATGCAGCAAGAAAAAAAAGCTGTTGAGGGGAAGTTAGAGGGTTCAAGCAATTATCTGATTGCTAAAAACATTAGATGTCAAAGAACAACATGTAATTGATCCGATGTGTTAGAATTGCGCTGGGCCAGATGTACAAATGTGTGCAAGCCTGTCAATGTAATCGCTTACAGCTTGACCGTGCAGTCCATAAGGTTTGCACCAGGAGGGCTCAAACAGCAATAAAATCCAATTCCAACATTTGCTAGCATTAGAAAGTGCAATTTGATTGGCAACATTCACACTGTAATGGGCTTATAAAGGATTCCTTGGGCCCAGAACAATGAGCTGGAGGGTTAGAGCAGTGCCAGGTCATGGACACCCTGCAATTCACAACATCCCCCCCTTCTGGGCATGCTTAGTTTCCTCCATCTTCACCGTGCCCTCTGCAGCTCTGTTTAAAAGCCAGTCGGGATGTTCCAGAGGTATTTAATAGTCGGGCTGGTGGAAGTGGGGAGGGGATATCTGGACCTCCCACAGGCAGGTTCAACCTCAGAGCCACGGCTTTTCTGTTTGCCCCACCCCATCATTGCACTCGTGGTCTCTCCGTCCCCTATTGCATGTGTTACAGTAAAGTCCAAAACATAAGAGACACCTCACTAGCGCTGCCCGTAGCTCCTCTTTGTGGTGGAGACAATAGTGAGGGAAGGAAGGCACACACATAGGGAACACATTTATCCAGGCAGAGGGCCAGAGCGTTGCGTTCCCATGGACCTGCTCAGGGGGAGGACTGTTGAGCACATTTTACACGTAAATATCCTGAATTGAATGTGGCACATGCAGGTTTTAGCTTTTTTCCCCCCTCTGCTTTGCTTCCCACATGTCTCATCCCTTTCACTCAGATCAGGCCCCTGTTTTGACTGAGCATCCAGGCCTCAGTGGCCAAGACAGAAGTCAGGCCAACAGAGCAGGACTTTTTTGATTTCTTTGATTTATTTTACATCAAGATTTCAGGCCTTTGTTTTATGCCTGTTTATGAAAAAGTTAGCCAACTTTATGGATGGCCAGCTGTACCCAAGTAACCTTTATTTGTAATATTTGATTTCTTACGCAGTCCAAAAAGTACAGCCTGCTAATGTCAAACATCATACCTTGGGCCTTTGCGGCTGTGAGATAACCACTGTTTCAATGTAATTTCTGTATGAGTTCTGTAATCTCTGATAACAAACTAATTGCATATTTTTTTATGGGGTCTAAAACCTAAACAGAGAGCACACACGCTGATAAGCTTTCTAGCTTTCTAATGTGTGAACATAATATAAACTTGAGCAGCAAACAAGCATGGAGCTAACAATAACTCAACGTTTCAACACAACTTGTGAGCCCACAGTGCAGACACAAGGGTAAAGCTGATGGGGGTAAAGGTTACGGGACAGAAACAACAACAAACGCAGGCAGATATATTTCCACATACATCACAACATTCAAGTAGCATTTGCGATAAAATAATTATTTTTATTGTATTGGAAAGTTCAGTGGTGTAGAATATATGTTGAGAAACTCACTGTTACTTTTGAATGTGAAACTTTAGTTGCTGGCTCTGCAGCTTGCACTCGTCTGAGTCAATCCCTTTATTGTTAAAATATTACATTACAAAATATTAAAATAAGAAAGCCCAGGTATCTGTATCGAGACTGGAAAAGCTGAATTAGCTCGTCCCTACACCATACCTCTGTCAAATGGCAGTGGCACTTTTGCTTCACAGCAAGAAGGGCCTGGTTTCAACTCCACCTCCAGACACGGACTTTCAGTGTGTAGTTTGCATGTTCTCCTCATGTCTATGTAGGTTTCCCCCTGAGTGATCCGGTTTTCCCAGCACTAAAAAACACCTAGCCAGCTGATTTCCCCGTGTCTGTGTTTGCCGTGTCCACCATGCCTCAAGGGACAGCTCATATTTCTCTTTAACATTCTCCACATTGACATCTATTTTCATTTCACACAAACAGGAGCCTGTAATGATTTGTCTTGTCAACTTGCCCCACTTTTTTTTTTCTCCACAATACTTGCCTGAAAGCGTCCTTCGTCACCTTGCGTTGGTGGATGCCTGCGTGCTGTTAAGTTGTGCCTGTCAGTCCTGGATGTTTGATGTTTAAATACTCGCTGCCCATTGCCTTGAACTGAAACGTACTCATTCTGTGATGGTCTGTTTCAGTCTTTGATTCTGACGCTAGAATCAATTTAGAGTTGCGTTTGTGATCGTAGCGTGCCTGTGTTCTCCTCCCCAGTGGTGCAGGTGGCAGTGGTAGGATTGTGGAGTGGGTGTTCGCTCCCTTTCAACAGTCTCTTCACATGGCCTCCTGCCTCCTTTGTCTTTTTATAGCCTCCTTCTGGGAGACGCTGCACTCTCCCCGAATACAACACAAGCCAAAACAGCTCTCAGTTCGTTCGCCAGAGCCCGATACCCAGGGAATACCGCCATTCCTCCCCTACTTTTCTTCACACATCTTCTCATCTCTCAGTCTCCCCCAGCACTGCTGCTTCAAGCCATTCAGGACGGACGCACAGTTTTGGTTTTCAAGAGCAGAGGTGATGTCTGAGTCACAGCAAGTCATCTATTTTCAAATGAAAGAAGGGATGATTATTTAAAAGATGGATATAGCTTTTGGGATGAATCCGCAAAATAAATCAGTATTTTTGGTCTTTAAACCACTTTCGGTCAAAAGGCATTTTACTTCCGGTTTGTTGTGTTCTCGTTTGACAACATAAAATACACTTTGGACACCAACCACCCTTTACGGCCTCACGATGAGGCTAATTAAGTATTCAAAACCAAGGAGAACTCCACAGCAGTGTCTTAAAACTTTGCCACTTGTGTTGTAATTCTCACTTAGAGCCCAACCACACTTGACATTTGAACAGTTACCAGCTCCATAAGACGTTCCTGTATGTCCTGTATGTGATCCAGGCTCTTCAATACTGGTCCTTTATTCATTAAAAATGTACGTTTGAAAATCTGTTTTTGACGTACAAACCTCAGATTCAGATTCATTTATTTGCCATTTGCAGTAAAACCACATTGGAAAAACTGTGCAAGACTACCCCAGTGTGCACCAGGCGGCACACACCAGAGCTCTTGCCACGGCGCCATCTTTACGGCGCCATGCGAAACCTGACATTATATCCACTGTATATCGGTCATAAAGTGCCAAAATTAAGTTGAAATGGCTTTTACTGTGATAAACTCACCCAGTTTTGCGCTGTAGCTTACAATGGAACACAGAAAGTTTGACAAATTATCAAACTTATTTCCTTCATATCAGAAATTTGTAGAAACATTTTTGAACAAACATTTTCGGCTACACCCTATGAGTCAGGGATAGTCAACCTATTTTTTTTCAAATGAACACAGACAAATGGATGACCTTCTAATCCAGAAAATATATACCTCACTTTGAACATTTTACAGCAAATATCTAATTTAGTTAAACAAAGTACAATTTTACCAACCAGGTAAAAAAAAAAAACAGAACTTCACCAGACTTGAATTAGAATTTACGAAATAGTTCTATAAAACACAAGCTAAAAAAGATATGCTGTACTTTTTCTAAATTGAGCCAAGATAAAAACTACTTGATTCAAGAATATACTGCCTAAGATTGTATTACATTTTTTGGAGAACATGGGCTGAGGACCGGATTAGTGTGTTCAAAGGGCCACCAGAACCTCTGCTTGACTCTTGAGCCACTTTCCTCTCTAGTTTAGATAACTTATTACCCCTCCACTGTGCCCTGGCAGCTCCGCACATGCCATGCCCACGTTGGCCCTTCTCCCTGTGCCTGTCCCGCAGCAGCACGCCCCACCTGCAGCCCTGCGTGGCATCAGACATACAGGCGTGCCACTGCTCTGACACGCTCGTTTGTCTTCTGACCGCCACAGCATATGGAGAGGGCTGGCACTGCACAGATGTCCACTAAGTGCTGATGAAGGGAGAGAGAGCCGTGGAGGAGTGGGACCTGAGAGCCTCTTTATCTGCTCCAGAGGAAAGAGACATAATCAGGAAGTAAAGCATGTATAGGCACTGTCGAATCACAATGGAGCAATAGAAGCTGGTTTTCATGTCCCGCGGTTTCTGATGCTGTAGTTGCAATGGTGCATGTCCTTCATCCTAGTGAAAAAGCGATTTGGGACTGATTCTTTGGAGCTGAACTTATCTAGTGTCTAAAAACAAGTCAAGCCTCCGTCATACAGAACAACTTTGTCTCCAGATTGTCAACGTTGTTGTTTACTAATCATTAGTGATGTGCCGGCCGCGACAATACTTCAAAGGCAGTTTTTTGTTGAATTGCGTATAGGGCAACAGTGGCTCAGTTGGTAGAGCATTGGCCTTTGAGCCTGAAGGTCGTGGGTTTGAGCCCACCATGAGACCTTCTCCACCGACTCCCACTGATGACGGCTGTCATTATGTCCTTGGGTAAGGCAATTTACCCCTCCTTTGCCTGAAGCCCCTGCTGAAAGATCAAGGCTATGCCATAGAGCGGCCATCCTCCTATGGACCCACCACCTGCAGGAGGATCAGTGAGGGGCTGGTGCTCTGTGTACTGGGTGGCATCTCTGGCCACCCCCCCACCCCAGAAATGGATTAAGGGGTAGAAAATGGATGGGGTATACGTGTGTGTTGAGGATGTAGGGGGTGATGTTCAAAGCCTCATGAAGTGTCTGTACCACATGACTTCGGTTGATTTACAGTGGCACTTCAGCAAGTGGATCATTTTCCCGTGTTATTTTATGAACCGCAGCTGTACCTGGTGTGGAACAAATGTACTTATTTGTGTTACAGATGTATTGCTAATCATCTACATATAAAATACTGTCACATTTACGAATAAAGCATACAATGATTCAATTCAATAAATTTTGGTCTAAGAGCAGGCCTAAAAAAAGTTGTTGATTTTCCAACACCAGATCAGAGAACTTGACAGTTTGAACACAGGAAATGCAATAATAACAAAAGCATAGGAGCCATTGGTCCACAGGGAGCTGGATTACCTATGTCCATAAATGCATGTCCTGAATCATCACTGTCCATAGATTCTTCTGCATCTGCAAGAAACTACAAAAAATTAAACGGTGGGAAAAATATGAGAAACCTCGGGGAGACACCCGTAGGTGCAGAGACCTATGGATTCTATGTGGATCTGTCCACTGAGAAGAAGGTGGGTGTGGACTTAAGCAGTAGGTAGAGCAGGAATGAAAAAATTGCAGCTTAGGTCTGGTAGCTTCAAAGTCATGAAACCTCAAGAGGGGGACAAGACCAGCTCTTCAACCTGTCAGTGGTAACTTACGTTGGGATAGCGCACCAAAGACTTCAATAATGACATCACCCGTGCATGGGGGGCAGGCGAATGAAGCCAACAGTGCAGCCAGAGATGGAGCAGAGCTTTCAGGGGTGCAAGAAGGACTCTTCACGGCACTTTGAAGTCTCGCTTGACGAGGCTTTGCTGCTGCCTGATACCGGCCACGATGTTCTGTGCACGGATTGGCCGCAGGAGTCACCAGGGTGGCTTATCAGATTTATTGGGGCTTAGTGGTTGACGGTTGGTGTGTGTGTGTGAGAGAAAGATAAAGTGGGTGGAGAGAAGGACCGGGAGAATAGGGAAAGGGTCATCCCGTTAACAATCCACGTGTCCAAGTTAATTTAGACAGCACCCCAGGGTCTCATGTGAAGAGGCGAGTCTATGGCTGACCACTTAATGCAGTCTTTAGCTTTTAAGCTCAGCAAAAGTCCATGTCACTGACAAACTCCATCAACATGACTGTACAAATGGACTTAACTAACTATGAATAATACTTCCACATCATAGACTGTGTAACGGACGTAGTCACGCCTATCTCTGCCCTTCTAACTAATGGGCCAAAAATTGGGCTTTCCTGGAGTGATTCAGAATGGCCCCGGGGACTGGAAAATGTAAAAAAATTCAAAAAATCACAGCGAGTAAACTAAAGTGGTCCAAAAAAAATCCACTCCCCTCAGCATTGACACACATGTGGAACGGAGCTTTGGGCCAAGAGCCAACTTGGACATTTTTGAGAGGTCAGCTAATGCTGTATGTTAGCATTGGCTAATTCTGCTTCTGGGTCCACCCCCATCGGCCCGGGGTGGTATTGCAAGCATGTCAGCGCACGTCATTTTGGCCACTTTTGAGCTGGGACCTGCCCCCACTGTTCCATATCTATAGGTCATCATTGTTCCTTCTCAAACCTCAACATAATTGCAACCTTATGTCCAAACAGAATTCATGAAGCTTATTGCGTTTTGGTCTTTTCCTGGATTGTGTGCCATTGTTTAAAGGGGTCGTGTGTAATATGCACTCTTAGTGGTCTAATAAACTAAAAAAAAACAAAAAAACATTGAAATTACAGTCCATCTTAGAATCATGTGCGATTTGTAGCACCGAAGCACTGATTTGATGTAATCCACCTGCTGGGCTTTAACTAGAAACGGTACAAACTATGGTTCTATTTTTTATTTTTATTTTTTATTTTATAATTACTGGCCATACTTGGATGCGAAAGTCAGATCCCGTCAGACCCCTCAAGCTGTGCAGGACAGGGATAGTAATGTGATGGGAGACCTCTGGGAACGCCAAATTGTTGTTGTGTCCTTAGGCAAGACACTTCACCCATATTGCCTATATGAGTCTAGTGTGTGTGTGAATGGCTGGAGGCACAGACTAGTTGCCTCGCTCCTGTCAGTGTACCCCAGTTCAGCTGTGGCTACAGTAGTATCTGAGTGTCCTGAAAAGCTCTGTAAGACCAATGCATCATCACCAATAAAACTGGCAACCTAAAAGACACAAAAAATGTAAACATGAATATCATGTCATTGTATTCTTGACATATTTATAAGTCCACTTTGAATCAGACCTGTTCACATATAAAAATATGATATGTATTTCAATGTGTTTCATATGTGTTTATGTTAGGGCCGGACATAAAAAAATATATAATTAATTAGAGGCTTAACACAAATGGCCATGGACACGCCCCTTTACTTCCAAAGTCACAGAATGCGACTTACATTTTGCTACAAGGAACACAAAGGTTGGGTTTGTTTTCAATGGTTGAAAATTTGGGAAATTTCAATATTTCGTGTGCATAATGCTAGTTTTACCATTTCTGCCACCATTGTCAAGCTCCCTACACTATAATAGGGTGTTGATATTCCACCTTTTAATGGCGGTGTACTGCATGGCGAACCACAATGTCACTTCTGTCAGATTTCCAAGATGAGGTTTGAGGCACACTTCAAAGTCACCCTAATGAGTGGAAAAACATCAGCTGCTCCTACATGACATTGAGGTGTGCCATTTTCTGCTGTTGCTGCTTTGTATTTCACAAGCCTTCTCTTCCAAATGTTAGCAACTCAGTTTTACCTCCAGCGCAAACAAACACTGAAGTATCGCCCATTGTAGCCTGTATCAAAGGCAGCATTTGTTAGCAATAAAACGCTGGTTTGACAGAGCTCCAGAGCTGATGCTTGCGCTCCAATATGAGCCAACATTTATTTTTTAACTCAGAGTAAGGTGAAAGCGAGAAAGAAGGCCATAAAATCTCCACAGTGCTAATGTTTTCTTCCCCTTTCTGTCATCTGCTTTGTTTTGATAGGCCGTTTGGAGAATTTGACCCCATTAAAGAGCATATCAAATCTGAGACACGGCTCTAAGCCTCTGTAACAGATATGAAGAATCGATAAGGAGAGCTGTGACGGAAAGACTTCCAACCCCTGCTGAGCTGCTTTCTAAAGGACGTCTGTGTGACAATTGGCCCATTCAAGCTGTTCAGGTAGATCATGAGGATTTATTAACCCTTATAACACTGAGAAGAGCCGACAAACTGACTGCAGAGATTTATTTAAAGCATCTGCATGTAAGCCTGTCATTTGCTGGACGATAAATTGCCTCAGAAATTATTGCGATAAGCGATAATATTGTTGTTCTGAGATCTAACACAATGGTAATGATGCAGTTACACCTTTTCAAAGAGAAATTGACTTCTATTTTTAAAGAATATTTAACGCTAGAACACCATAAATGAAGAAACAACCAAAAACCATGAATACAATAGACTCTGTGTCTGTTTACAAAAAATTAACTGGAATAAAACTGCCAAGACCTTTCTAAACAAAGTTATGAAACAGTTGCCTCAATAGGCCATATGCAAAAATCATTTTAGAAATAATTTACGCCAGTATTCCCGCCTCCCCACACACCATACGACTGACAAGTGACTGACATGAGGGTTCACTCATCTTTACTTGCGTTCAGACCGCTGGAAGTGGATGTGCGCTGACATGCTTGCAATACCAACCCGGGCCGATGGGGGTGGACCCAGAAGTAGAATTAGCCAATGCTAACATATAGCATTGGCAGACCTCTCAAAAACGTCTTTACAGGATGGTCCAAAAGTTGGCTCTTGGCCCAAAGCTCCGTTCCACATGTGTGTCAATGCTGAGGGGGGTGAATTTTTTTGGTCCACTCTAGTTTACTTGCTGTGAATTTTTGAAGTCTCTCGATCAAATGAATGAATCAAGAATGCAGCTCTACAGCGTTTCTGTGTTCAGAGACCTTCCAGAGACTTTATATAACAGCAGTATGTGTTCATGGAGGTGCGTCATAAGTTTATTTTATTATTAAACGGTACCTCTGCATCGGTGAACATGCTAGCTGTGCTAGTTTAGTCACTACTAGAGAATGAGAACTCAGGCTGGCATATGTTCACAAGCACTGTCTCTCTCATTGTCAATCCTGGTTTAGTCCTGGTTTAGGTCCTGTTTTGGCTATCTTTAGTATTTTTGAGTATTTTCAGTCTGCTCGCTAAACCGCTAATGTCCACGTGACTGCTTTGCGGCTCTCTGACCCGAGAGAGAGACGAGGAAACAAACAAGCATGCAAATGGCATTTATTGCGGCCAGAAA